TCTCACATTCCAAATGGTCGCTTTTCTTGTGAATGGGGTAGATTACCCCCTCCTTCCACTCCTCCGGTAGTTGTTCTGTTTTCCAGATCCTGACTATCATCCGGTGCAGGCAGGTGGCCAACTTTTCTGGGCCCATCTTGATGAGTTCGGCTGCGATACCATCCTTACCGGCTGCTTTGTTGTTTTTGAGCTGCTGAATGGAGTCCTTAACTTCCCTCAGCGTGGGAGTTGGGTCAGTTCTGTCCTCTGCTGCACTGACGTAGCCGTTTCCTCCATTGCGCTGATCTCCCCCCGTCTCGATGAGTCTCATCGTCACCCACTGGTCACCCACCATAGCCGGTCGAACTCCGGACGAAGCTAGAACAGCACTACCGTTCATACTGGCGACAACGCTCTGATGAGACAACGAAACCCTACCCCAAGCTCCTCCCCTGATCCTATCCTTCGAAAATGTGCCCTTCTAACCTCGAGTAAGCCACGAGTAATCGGCCCAACTCCTACTAGACATAGAATTAAGTGAATTTTGTTACACACAGTGAACAATGAATTATCGGCTCCGTAAAGCTAACGCGATTGAGCCTTCCAAAGAAACGAACTAGATAAAAAAAAATTGCGCTGATCTCCCGTGCCTACGTTCTCCTCGCCATTCAGGTGCGCATCGAAGTGCTGCTTCCACCTTTCAATCACCTCACGTCCGTCCGTCAAGAGGCTCCCGTCCATATCCTTGCACATTTCGGCTCGCGGCACGAAGCCGTTGCGGGATGCGTTGAGCTTCTGGTAGAACTTCCGTGTTTCTTGGGAACGGCACAGCAGTTCCATTTCCTCGCACTCCGCTTCTTCCAGGTGGCGTTTTTTCTCCCGAAAGATGCGGGTCTGCTGTTTCCGCTTCTGTTTATACCGTTCCACGTTCTGTCGGGTTCCATGCTGCAGCATTACCGCCCGCGCTGCGTTCTTCTCCTCCAAAATCGCTCTGCACTCCTCGTCGAACCATTCATTTCGTCGACTTCTTTCCACGTACCCGATGGTGCTCTCGGCTGCGTCGGTGATGACTGCTTTTACTGTACTCCAGCAGTCCTCTAGAGGGGGCACATCAAGCTCGCCCTCCTCTGGCAACGCTGCCTCGAGATTCTGCGCATATGCTAAGGCGACATCCGGTTGCTTCAGTCGCTCTAGGTTGTACCGTGGCGGGCGTCGGTACCGTACATTGTTGATGACGGAAAGTTTTGGGCGCAGTTTGACCATCACCAGGTAGTGGTTGCTGGGGTCGTTGCCGTTGGTCTCGGTTCGTATTCCTCTGTTGCTGATTTTCCGTTGCAATGCTTTTTTTTACGGCTGGCTCGCAGGGCCTGACACCAACCCCCTAACTTTCCGGAGGACCAGGGTGCACAGTTGTGCTTAGAGTCCTTCACTGGCACTCGGACGTAGATCAGCCGCCCCTAACATGGGAACAGACGCTGTTGTGAGCCGCTCCTCCTGGAGAACAGAAGCTCAGGCTTGCCGAAGCAAACCCCCCCTTCCCTGTCAGCCTATGACCAAAGTTCCCACCGGGGTTGGTTACCCGATCTTCCCTAAGGTTGCTCACAGTTCCCGGCCGGTACCACGGGGAGGTAGGGATAGGAGTTGCTGGGAAGAGGCTAGTGATCTCAATGGGATCTGTATTGCGCATTACCCAGCATTAACACACTGTACACCTAAAACTAAATACGGCTTTGGGGCCATTGTGCAATGGCGGCAGCGTTGCCAGATATACCGATTTATCGGTATTTATACAGATTTTCAAACTTGATACCGGTATACACATAAGGTTTATCATAATACCGATTTTTGAGTTTTAATACCGATTTATACCAATTTTCATTAATAATCAAAATGATTACTGTCTGCCCGCACTGAATTGTCAGAGGAAACTATTGTGAAAGACTTTTATCGTTTTGAAAATTAAATTTTTTGAGCCTCTCTAAAAGAATGTCATCTTCAAAAATGCCGTATCAAATTTCCTCTCCGTTTTTGGTTACCAAGGAGTCGAGAAACAGATGATGGCTCATCCCGGTAATTTCTGGAAATCGGAAAATACTTTTATTCAGTGGAAAAATAGGTCCATAAAAACGTAAATTTTTGAACTTCCTGAAATTTCTTTAATCTTCCCTTTGAAGTTTCTTCCAACTTTCGACTTCCCTTGGAAGCTTCTTCTAGCTTCGTTCGAACGGTTCTTCCGTCTTCTCCCGTCAGTTTTGTCAACTTCCCCAGAACTTCTGGAATGCTTCCATAGTTTTATTGCTGTTCCATTAGCTTCAGCAAAACTTCCGGAACTTTTCAGAAGTTCTGAAACTGCAGAATAGTGCGGAGTTTTGGGTAGGTTCCGTTAAATTAAAGACAGTTTCATTAACTTCTACTCAAATTCGAGAACCCGGGAATCTCAGAAAAGCCCAGAGAACTACAATGAACTAGAGGAAACTGAAATATTTTGGAAAATTTAATGATTTTCATGATTTGTTTCAGGAGAATTGAGATAACTTCAGGAAAGCTCTGAGAACATCAGGACATTTAATTCAAGGAAATTTCTGAACCTATAAAGTTCCGAGAAACTCAGAGAATTTCCGGAAACTTCAGTAAAGTTCCGATAAGTCCATGAATATTTTGGAAACGTAAGGGAAGTTACATGAACATTAGAAAATTGTGAGATCATTTTAAGGGAAGTTCTGTGTTTTTTATCGGCAGTTTCGAGAACTTTAAAAAAAAAATATCGTGAAGATCAGAGAACTTTAATGCTGCTGTTCATTAATTTAAAAAATGAAAGCGCTAAAGAAGGTCCAGGGACTCTTAAAGAAGATAAGAGATTTTCCGGAAATTTTATAATAATCAGGGAAGTTTAGAGTACTTCGAGGATGATCAGAGAACCTCAAAACAGCCCCATTAACTTTAGGAAAATTGCAAGAACTTTCAAGGAGTTCCGAGGAATTATGGGATAATCTGAAGTGCAATTCAGGAATGTTCCGAAAACTTCAGGGACAGTGTGGGGTTTTCAGGGATGTTTTATGAATATGAAAATTGCTGGATCAATAGAGCATGTGAGGAACTTCAGGAAATATTCATCCCCTAGAAATCTATTTCTTCCAAATATTTTCCATCTTCTCCTTGAAGTATCTTTCGACTGTTCCGTTAGCCCTCTGGTGTTCAACTTTTTCCAGAAGTTTCTTCCAATCTATCTTAGGAAGTTTCTCTCAGTGTATCCTGGAAGTTTCTTCCGTCTTCTCCTGGAAATTTAATTAAAGTTCTACCGGATGTATCTATCGAGTTCTCCCAGAAGTTTCTTTCGTCTTCCTCTGGAAGTTTCTCCATATTTAAGTCACTCTCCGCAGGTTTTTTCCGAAATATTGGAAGGTTTTTCCGAACTTCTCCTGACTTCCCCTGGAAATGGCTACTCCGGGAATGACTTCCGATTTCTAAACTTTTCTGGCTTCTGGATTTTTCCGAAAGTTTCTAAAAAATATTTCGCAATTTTTCTGTTGGATGTTTTTCCGACATATCTTAGTACTTCCTTCAAACTTCCTCCACAAGACCTTCCTTATTCTTCCTCTGGAAGTTTTGTCGGTACCATTAAGAGACTAATTCAAATATTTCCCAGAAATTTCTTCCGACTTACATAGAAAGTACATCATTCGATTTTAGCCCAAGAGTTTGGAAAAATGTAAAATTAATTAAAATAGTGAATAACGATGAATACCGATTTTTTAATTATTTGATAAAGCCCGATTCAAAGTAAATTTGAACGCATTCAAGTGATCATAACTCAAGAATTAAACAACATACACGGTATATCAAAACGTCAAACTAAAGGGTATTTATTCAGCTTTCAAACGATATATAACAAGTTATTACATTTCACCGTTTCGAACGAACTGTCGCACTTTACTTGTGATCGATGCCATCATGATCTGCACAGTCGCTGGTGGCACTGTACCGGCGAACTTATTCCACTTTAAACGCATTTGTTGTGCATTTGTCACTTCTTTGCCGCATCCTCGAAGTTTTCGCTTGACAATTGCCCAATATTTTTCGATCGGTCTGAATTCAGGGCAATTCGGAGGATTAATCTCTTTGGCGACGAAATTAACATTGTTTGCAGCATACCATTCTAGTACCTCCTTAGAGTAGTGGCAGCTGCCTAGATCCGGCCAAAACATAACGTTGGTCTTGTGTTGCCGAATGAAGGGTAAAATCCGCTTTTTCATGTCGTGACCTTTTTCCCCATAAATTTCTATTACATTTACTGATAAGATTTGAAATTCATCAAGAAATGGCTAAGCTATAATGTTATTGCAAATTTGCCGTTACACGTGTTTCGGAGGCTTCGTACTCCGCGTTAAGTTGTTTACCCATAGTGTTCGGAGCGGTATTCACATTACAATCTATATTACGTAATATAGCCTATTTTATATCACGTAATATAAGCTGTAGTGTGAACGAGGTAATAACCAATGATTAAGTTATTTTGTAAAGGGGAAATGGATGTAATGTCGCCCTAAATGCCTCTAACTTGGGCCCATACATAAATTCAGCAACCAACTAAAATTTTCAATAGCGACCAAAATATCCATTAGTACCGTCCCAATGACGCGTTCATCTAGATGAAATTGATAAATAGTAGATTTTTAGCGATGGTCCCAATCTTAGATCCATAGACCAACATTAGAGCCATTTCCCCTATTATTTCCAAAAAATTTGAGGTTGTGTTTATTGTTGTTTTTAAGACTTTTAAAAATGATTCACACAGTCATCTTATTATCCGATGATAAGTGCTTCTTTTTTCTTAGCACTGACAAAATTTTTGTTGAAAAATTCACCTATTCCCAAGCCAGTCTCAACGAATTCTAGCTATCCACAATTCACATTTAATAATTATGTTCCTGGTTGTTGCTTCAGATTCCGCACCGCATCCGACCAGATTTGTAGAATGTCAGCTAAACCCGTCTAATCACTATGTTTTACCTTTATATCAGCGCGTTTCCCCCACACGAACCTTTCCCTCTAGTGTTTCCCCTTCCACACACACACAGACACACACACCCAAAAACAAACGGAAAAAAACTCCCACCCTGGCTGCCCACGTATGATGGAAAATCGTAATGGCCGTGATCGGAACAACAACGACGTAGCAGTCCTCCCGAACGGTGTAATTCTGCGTAAACTGAAAAGCAAACATCCGTCCGAGTGCCTTCTGTGCTGGAAGGAAGCCCGCATCCCCAAGTGTCTTTGTCCCAGCTGTTCGAAACAGTACTGCTTTCAGTGTATCAAAAAGTGGCTAACCGATAGTAAAACCAAAACCAGTGAATGTCCCAACTGTAAGTGTAAGCTTCCGATTGACGAGCTGGTCCGCTGCGCGGCGGATCTGGTCGATACTAAGAACGACGACCTCGACGGTAATGTTACAGAAGGTGCAAAGCAGCAGCAACAGCAGAGGCGAAGAAACGGCATCGAGTCGGGTTCGATCAAGCTGGTCGTGAAAGTGATCGAGAATGATAGTGTCAAAGAGCGGCTGACGAACGGGAATGCTGCTGCAGCTGCTGAACCGATGGTTAATGGTTCCGCGCCGGCTAAGATGCTCGCCGTCAATGGGCGTCAGGGGAAGAAATCGAAGGAAGCCAACAGGAAGCAACGGCAAGAGCAACAACAACAACAATCGAATCACAGCGAAACGAATGGAAAGGTGAGTGAGACAGAGAAGAAGGAACCCAGCAGACTGTGCAATGGGTTACTGCACAAGGAGGAAGAGAATGGTCAAGACGTTCCGGTGAACGGAATTGACGGAAGTGATTCCACAAATAAGAATGCTAACGGAACGCAACGCAGAAATGGCTTCAAGAAGCCACCACAACCGAACTCCGCTGAATCGGCTGTACCCGAACCGGTAGTACAGAACGATGTCACGCCTAAGGAAACTGCCGTAGAGAATGGGTACTCGTGTCAGCAGGAGCAGAATGGCGAACAGAACAGCGATCGACTCTCGTGTTCGCTACATTCACTGCCACTGATATTTTTCTGTTTGTCCTGTAACATTTGCATCTGCGAAACCTGTGCCCTTCATGACGATTCCCATGCGGAACACATCTTCAAGAAAGTGACGACCATCTACGAAACGAAACTCGAAGCCGTCAAACTAGAATTCACCCACGTAACGACTTACTTGGATGAGATTGGAAAGGTAATCGAAGGTGTTGAACGTAACATCGATTTGATAAAGGCATCGAAAGCGTTTAAGCTCCAGGAGCTTAGCCGATTGCTACACTCGGAAGCGGAATGCATTGAACGCCAGATCAATCGAAAACTGTCAACACTGCAAGATCAGAAGGATGCCGTAGCGAATGAGGTCAATCGGGTACAGTCGGCCTATAAAAAGTTGGAAAAGGAGCTGATCGCTTGCCCGAAACAGGATCTGCTCGTAAAGGATAGTGATTTCGTCAGAAGATGTAGCCAGCTGATTGAGAAACCTATCGAAAGCTTCGTGCACCAACCGGTGGCAGCTGATTTGGAATGGTAATGATGTGCTATTGAAGGATTGATTTTGTTCTCGAATGTAACGATGGTTCTTGTTGCAGTGATTTCATTCCGGAGTTCCGCTCGGAAATCTTCATTGTGAAGGATTATCAGGCGATCGAACCGATCGAAGAATGCCGTACCTCAGATGTGCTGAACGACGTAGTAGGCTTCGGCTGGCGATTACATGCGTGGAAAAGTGATCACCTGTCGGTTACTTTGATGATGACGGAAGGCGTCAGTGGAAGGTTTGAAACGGATGACATAACATAGGTTGAAACGCAGACTACTAGATGTTGGTATCTTGTCTATCCCTCTAGATACGAGTATTGCATCGAGTTGCTGCATGACACGGATCCGTCCAAATCGATCAAGCTGACCCACATCGATCAATTCGAGCTGCACCGATCGGGACCCGTGCACGATTTGATCGAAAACGAACGGCTATTGGAGCAGGGATTTATCAGTGAATCTAACGATACGTTGCAGATCAAATTCTCCGTGAGACCCCCGACAATCGTAACGAAAAGCCGCTACCAGCAAGAATACATCGACCAATCCCGGAAGGACAATATCAAGTGAGTAAATATTTGCTGTTTTACCTTTTATGGGCCAGATTGGGGGGAAGTTGTAAACAATTAAGTCATCCGACTCAGGGGCAAAATCTAGGTTAACTTCCACGCTTCGGTTACGATTGTAATCAATCATTTTACAAAGCGCGTTATATCACACACCTCCGAACGAGCGTCACGGCAGGGCTGAATTTTGGGTAGGCAAATGCTCTCTTTACGAAAGCGTGCCTGTGGTATTGAATCTCACAAGATTGTAAATATATTTCACGGTCACGTCAGAGAAACTGCTGTTGGTGGTTTAACCTGCTACTTGGATGGTTGAATGGCTGTCCGATTGATCAGTATATGGGACCGGTCTCACCTCTCTGCAGTGATAAAGTGATTACATGGCCACTTGATTCGATGGCAGCTAGTTGTTAACGAAGCCGTGGTTCAGATTTCTTTAAAATTCTTCGGAGTAGTTAAAAAAAAACTACCTTTCAAACCTCGGATCAGGCTTGCAAACAGAATAAACGAAAAAAAAACAAGCACACCGTCAAATTTTACTCAACATCGAATCGTGCTTTCAAAACCAGTAGCCTGCTTTGTTAAATGAGCAAAATAAACACCCCAATCGCACACTAGATCACGCTCGTCCGCCCATCGAGCAGCCATTTTTTTTTTCTTTTTCGTTCACCCATCTAATCGAGCACGAACGTGCGAATTTTTTTTTTCCTTTCGCATTTCACCCACTGCGGTTGGTTTTCGGGCGACTTTTGAACCCGCTAAATTGATCGAAAAACAAAATGCACTCCTCGTCGGTCAGAGCAGCAGCGGTCAGCGTTTAAGTGTTTTGGCGACTCGATGGCGCACATTTTGGCTGATGCCGTTCAATGAAGTGTGTCAGAGTGCAACACTTCGCTCCATCCTCTGGCTCCTCTAGTTCGCAGTGGATTAGCATTAGCATTCCTTTCTCCCGATCAAAAAAAAAATCCACTTATTTCCATCGTACCTACTTAATTTTGCACCACCGACCGACCGGTGAACCGGTTCTACTCCCAGAGTGAGATCAGCGATTGAATACAAAAAAAAAATATTTATTTGAGAAAAGCACTGGAATGGTGCTTTACCAGCACGTAGCTAATTGATTTGATTGGCATTGTACTTCAAGTTTGTCAGTTTCCTTGAAAGTGTCATAACTTTACAGCACTTGTTATGCAGTCGCTGTAATTTGTCGCTTGACAGGATATGTATAAAACAGTGAGTTATGCGATCGATCATTCTTGATATCGATCAGCGGGTTTTGTTGGTTTTCGGGGGCCTCTGTCTGAAGGAGTTGTAAATGTTTTCGACGTGAGTCATTCCATTTTATGATTGTTGTTTTTACCCGGTTTGCCTTTTGTCACAAGTTAATCATTCGTATTTCAAGCCGTAGTGATCGATTCTGCGATTTCCGCGCTAAAATGAAAGACATTTTGTGTCAAAAATTACAGCATTAGAAAAAAAAAATCAGTTGAAAATTATTCGTATATTCAATACACAAGGTAGAGTTTTTGATCTAATTTCCGTCCTATTAAGCACAACCCGCTCTTTAGCTCTCTTTTCTGAAGATGACTTGTAAATTTATTCACTTTTCCTTGGATTTGATAAAGAGTCACACATTGTTGATATTGTTTAAAATCTAATGCTGCTTCTTGATTCTAAATTCGTTCTACGAATTTCATTTTCGTCCTAACGCATTGGAACGCCATTAGATTTTCTTCGTCATACGGATTATCGTGGAAAAAAGGGATTCGCTAGGAGCGCTTCTTTTGTTTTGAGAACAATGAGCGTAAATATTCATACAATGCGCTCTAATAGGATTTATGCTGTAGGTAATGAACTAAGGCATCGGAACAAACCTATTATTGATTTGTGCACGGTGAAATCATTGATATTATTGATCTTTTCTGATTTCCGTTATAATGGGCGATTACGACGAAGTAGCGCTCTACCCTTATGCCTTTCATTTCATGTTACACCATAAAGACATTCTATCATAAATGACTTCTAATTTGCTTTACCTTTCCATACCCAATACCTTGATGTCATTGGATTCACTTCGCCGTACGGATCTAGGCAGGAAAAAATGATTCGCTAGGCGCTTCTTTTGTTTTCGAGAAGCATCATCAAAAACATCTGATAGATATTTTAGAACTAAGCTATCGTACCAAGCGTGATTCATTCACATCGAAATCATTGATATTTTTTATGTTTCTGCTAGATAATACGGAAATAGGCGCTAATGCCGAAATAGTGCTGTACCCTTTTCAAACTTAACGGCATCGATGGTTAAGTGTAGAGTCTTCCAATGCTGGTTGTGTTGCAACAGTGTTGCAAAATCTCGATCATACACGGTGATATTGACAAATAAGCTTTAGTCACTCATTCTAGCTAAAAGTCATCTTCAAAGGAAACCATGTCAATTGTCAGAGATATTCCTGTCAGTGACGATTCGTAACGATATGAAATGAATTAAGCAAAATAATTTCATGGAGCCGTTAAAGAGAACGAGCATCAATGTCATTAACTGTCTGGATAGTAATAATGTGATATAGAATGTTCGAAATTACACTATTTTTATAGAAACTGCCTAATTTAAATAGGTCAGTTCGCATTGGTCCATTTTAATAGATCAATTTCAACTGCTCAACTTGATTTGTTTAATTAATTGGCCGATTTAAATTGTTCAATTTGAATTGGTTACTTTGAGTTGACCAGTTTGAATTGGTCAATTTGAGTTGGTCAATTTGAGTTGGTCAATTTGAGTTGGTCAATTTGAATTGGTCTATTTGAATTGGTCAATTTGAATTGGTCAATTTGAATTAGTTAATTTGAATTGGTCAATTTGAATTGGTCAATTTGAATTGGTCAATTTGAATTGGTCAAAATGAATTGGTCAATTTGAATTGGTCAATTTGAATTGGTCAATTTGAATTGGTCAATTTGAATTGGTCAATATGAATTGGTCAATTGGAATTGGTCAATTTGAATTGGTCAATTTTAATTGGTCAATTTGAATTGGTCCATTTGAATTGGTCAATTTGAATTGGTCAATTTGAATTAGTTAATTTGAATTGGTCAATTTGAATTGGTCAATTTGAATTGGTTAATTTGAATTGGTCAATTTGAATTAGTTAATTTTTTTTTTCCTTTGGTTTGTTTTTTCCGTCGATCCTGTTTTCCGTGCTGAGCACCAATGCTACCGACGTGCCAGGAAGGCAACTCCCACACCTGGACCCTACCTATCGACCCATCAACTCATCAACCGGGGACCAACGGCTTTACTTCCCATCCGAAGGAAGGCGTGATCAGAGATGTTATGCCTCAGAACATCCCGACGGCGCCGACTGGGATTGAACCCAGGCCTGCTGGGGTGAGAGTTTATCACGCTTACCACTACACCACCGGCGCCGTTAATTAGTTAATTTGAATTGGTCAATTTGAATTGGTCAATTTGAATTGGTCAATTTGAATTGGTCAATTTGAACTGGTCTATTTGAATTGATCAATTTGAATTGCTCAATTTGATTTGGTCAATTTGAATTGGCCAATTGGAATTGGTCAATTTGAATTGGTCAATTTGAATTCGTCAATTTAAATTGGTTAATTTGAGTTGGTTAATTTGAGTTGGTCAATTTGAATTGGTCGATTTGAATTGGTCAATTTGAAATGGTCAATTTGAATTGGTCAATTTGAATTGGTCAATTTGAACTGGTCCATTTGAATGGGTCAATTTGAATTCGTCAATTTGAATTCGTCAATTTGAATTCGTCAATTTAAATTGGTTAATTTGAGTTGGTTAATTTGAGTTGGTCAATTTGAATTGGTCAATTTGAATTGGTCAATTTGAAATGGTCAATTTGAATTGGTCAATTTGAATTGGTCGATTTGAATTGGTCAATTTGAAATGGTCAATTTGAATTGGCAATTTGAATTGGTCAATTTGAATTGGTCAATTTGAATTGGTCAATTTGAATTGTTCAATTTGAATTGTTCAATTTGAATTGGTCAATTTAAATTGGTCAATTTGGTTTGATCAATTTGATTTGGTCAATTTGATTTGGTCAATTTGATTTGGTCAATTTGAATTGGTCACTTTGAATTGGTCATTTTGAATTGGTCATTTTGAATTGGTCGATTTGAATATGTCAGTTTGAATTGGTCAATTTGAATTGGTCAATTTGAATTGGTCAATTTGATATGGTAAAATTGATTTTGAATCAATCCATTTGAATTAATAAACTTAATTTGAATTAACCGATTTGAATTTCAATTTGAATTGGTAAATTTGAATTAATCAATTTTAATTGGCCAATTCGAATAAATCAATTTGAATTGGTCAAATTAAATTGGTCAATTTGATTGGTGATCAATTAGAATTTTAATCGATCAATTTGAATTGGTCTATTTGAGTTAGTCAATTTGAGTTAGTCAATTTGAAAGGGGAAATTTGAATCAATCAATTTGAATCGGTCAATGTCAAGTGGCCAATTTCTATTGGTCAATTTCAATTGGTCAAAATTTGATTTGTCAAATTTATTGATCGTTTTGAATTGGTCCATTAAAATTGGCCAATTTGAACTGGTCAATTTCAACTGGTTAATTTGAACTTGTCAATTAGAATTGATCAATTTCAATTGTTTAATTTCATATGCTAAATTTATTGGTTAAACTTGGTCAAATCGATCAATTCAAATTAACCAATTCATATTGACCCATTCAAGTTGACCAACTCGAATTGATCAATTCAAATTGACCATTTTACATTGACTAATTCAAATTGACCAATAAATTTATCAAATTAAATTGACCAATTCAAATTAACCAATTCAAATTGACCAATTCAAATTGACCTTTTCAAATTGACCATTTCAAATTGACCAATTCAAAGGTCAATTTGAATTGGTCAATTTAATTTAATAAATTTATTGGCCAATTTGAATTGGTCATTTTGAATTGATCAATTTGAATTGGTGAATTTGATT